TGTTATCTGTATGCAATGAAAGAATTACAACGCAAGCATAAGAAGACTCGCGTTACAAATTTAGTGAAACCAGGCGTTCACATATTTCTTCATATACATTGAAGCCCAAACACTATTTCTTCTGTCAAATTCCTATGGGCAATTATCCTTATTATGTTTAGAGAGATAACTTCACGGGATATGCATCATCGGGATACGGTAATTTTCGGGATATGCGTCCCGATAAATCCCGCGAGACATCCGCGTGTCCTGCGTAGCGCGGAGCAGAAAAAAATTGGTGCGAGATCTCCAAGTCTACCGCGGGTCCTGTCACCGATGGCGGCGTGCCAAATTGTTTATTTTTACGTCCTGTCGGGCGATCTGGGCAGGGCCAATGGAGCACCCTGACGTCAGTCAACTTTGCCAAAATTTTTATTCACCGATAGCACAGGAGTAGTGTATATTGTGTATAACGCGTTCCTCACGCGGTAATAGGTGAACTGCTACATTTTAACAAAGCTATTGTGCAGCGAAAAACTCACGAAAACTGTAAGAAAATATCAGGAATGAATTTTTAATAACCCCTTTGTCTCCGGTGAGTTTCGGCAAGTTTATAAACCTTCAAATAAAATGGGGCGTACCGGCTGTAGTAGTAGTTGTATTTCATTGTGACATCTTGTACTAAACTGGCTTGTTGAGGTCTACTCATCTTCTCATAAGCAGACTGCGTCAAGTAGTCTCTGTATTACGAAAATTAGGAACGTTTGCACATCAAAATCCCGCGGCAAGCGTCTCACCCCTCACATGCAAACACGTACACATAAAATAAATAAACCCTTGCATCAACAATCAACGATCCGACCACGTCCATTGACGTACGTATTACCCTGAAAGCAAGTACTTCCACGGCCACGCGGCTGGCAAAAAATCTTCCGGTGGAAAAAGCATTCTAGTTCTCGATGTCACTTGTGAAAAACGTTGTTTTGGAATGAATCAGGATGAGAAAAATACAATGCTGCTTGCAGGACTGAGGCGGAAAATCGCTACAATCGCCAGGGCGGCCGGAGTCTTTGGGGCGGAGCATCGAGCCTTTGTTTGAGTTTGAAATCTTACCGCCCAGCCAGTGGGCGGGTCCCCGTCTGTGTGCTGTGATTGGGTGCCGCGCGGTGTGCTTGCTATGCGGCTTACGTGCCGTTTCTATGGCAACGTGGCCCAGTCACAGAAATGTATCAATTCTTGTTCGTCGCTGATCGCAAACACAGCCAAGAGGCGTAAAGAACTTTTTAATTATGCTTCGCCCCCCCCCTCTTTTGTATAATGTTTAATCTCCCTTCCGCAGCTCCGTGCGTCGACCTCCCCTATCTAGGAGAAAAATGAACTTCTGGCGACATGGCACGTGGATGTGTAAGATTTTATATCTGAGATAGCGCGGGTCGGGTGACATCAAAAGCAGTACTTAGCGGGCCGTCCACATGGCAAGGTCAGACAGAAATTTTCGTACCAAGAAGGTTGTATTATTTTGTTATCGTTCTAAACATTACTAAGCCACTAAAATTTTCGATATTAAAAAGAAATATTTAATAACACTAGCGGTTTGTGCTAATGTTATCATCATGCATAATTTGGAAACAAACATGCGCCGCACCGTCTGTCTGTAAAAATCTTAGTCAACATGGTTCCCGAAAAATCCCGGGATATCCCGATAAATCCCGATTTGATGCTTATCCCATTAGCTGTACTGTATTATCCCGAAAAAGATTGAAACTGTCTGACAAAACGTAATGTTATATCCATGTTATATCATGTCATCAGTAATAAATGTAAACAAACGCCCCCCTCCCCGGCCCCGCACCTACATTACAAAGTCGACAATAGTTACAGATGAACACAATTCTGTTTACTTTATTTTCAAAACGGCAGCAAGCCTAAATCTCTATACATACGAGATTCTATCAAGTAAGGAGCTAGTAAATTATGAGCGTTTTTTTTTAATTTGAGCCGGCGGTGACATGCAAAAAATTACACAAAGTCGCCGGCGTTCTGTGGAAATCTGCAGTCGTACTTGTGGATATTGAACCCAAACCCCCAGTGCAATATTCTCTACTCGAGACTGGTATTCATATGGCCGTATTTCTACGAAGGAAAATGAAAACTTACCGCTGGCGCTGACATATTTGGTCCAACGATCTCTTCTCGTGTCATACGAGGGCGGATGCCCATATTTGGAAAGCTCGGGTGTTCTGTGCGTAGCGCTAGGGTCATTGACCGCGGTTATCGAACACGCTGTTCCATTGTTCCATGGTTGTTCGAATATTCCAAACGCGTTCTTTTTGTTCGATTTTTGGCTTAAAATGCAACTTTTTTTTACCCATTTTTTGCCAATAAAATCATTTTCTGACATCTATGTTGGCCAAAATGACCAAGG